TTCTACAAAGAGGGAAACAAAGATAATCTACTCTTTTTAAGAAAAAAATTAGTGTTAGAAAAAAATATTATTTATTTAAAGGTAGATAGTCTATAACCTTCAAAACACAACAATAGAAGTGGAGTGATTTATTCACTTTTAAAACAAGATAGAAATAGTAAGTTAGTACTCCTATTAAACTATTAAAGACATTAATCTCAAAGAAAGAAATTCTTAATATACTCTTATATCACTCAAAAGAATTAGAAAACCATTGAAAGATGATATGGTATTAAAGTAGAATGGTTATTGCTAAAGATAAGAAGATTTAAAACTCTTGAAGCAAGACTAAAGACTAAAAAGACATTGACAAGAATGAAGAAGGTTCACTCTTGTCTCCATATATATTATCTATCTAAGAGCTATTTGGCAATGTTCTATGGGACCTCTAATATGTATTGACTTTGGGAGAGACATGTCTTAATATGCAAGACAAGTTTTTTATATGTATACCATATGGTTAACTTCTTCCACAAGCTATCAACATGTGTGACGTGTGGCTTATTCATTGACTAAGTTTCTAATCTATCAATTACCTATAAATACATATAAAATCAAAGCTACATCTATGAAGCTTCTAAAAGACTTTTTTACAAGATAATATGAAATTAATCTATTTTTACTCACTTCTACCTAATAATATAGATGATTCTTGGAATAAATATTTATATCCGTGATATCTACTTAAAATTTTATTAGCATTAAATTTCATATTATATGCCTTAAACTTAGAATTAATTATTTTATTACTAAAAAATAAAAATATTTTAATATTAAAAAATAAGAATATTTTAATATTAAAAAATAATATAAGAAAATATTTTATACTAATAAATTAATGACAAATTGATATCTTAAAATGAAATTTATTACTTAAAATATAAGATGTGTATGTGTATAAATACCATTATGAATTTGTAATTATAGATATCTTAACAAAATATTACATCATTTAATATAATAAATATTTTAAATATAATAATTTTTATTATTAGTATACATAATATTATTTTTAGTAATTATTTTTATTATTTAATTTATAAATTAATATGTATAATCAATTATAATGGTTAAAGGTTTTATTATTTTTTAAAATAATAAATTAAATAATTAAAATTATTATAAACATTTATAATAATAATACAATCATATTTTATGAAATATATAGTTTTTAATTTTAAAATAATAAATTAAAAAAGAGATAAAATTACTTATTGATAAACATATTTAATGTTATTTTATTAATTAATATTATTTGTTGTAATAATATTTATTAATTACATGTGATTCTTAGTTAACAAAATTGACATATTAAATGCAAAATAGTAATTATTTCTATGAGGTCTTACTCTATATTATAGAGTGCTTGCTTCTACCTTAGCAACCAATTCATCTTATGACTATCTCACCTTGTTATCTTTAATCATATAAAAGAGTATGGCCTTGTCAATTACATGGCCTTTCTTTGCTCAATTATGTATAGCCACATGGCCATGTTGGCCACATGATTCTTAATAACTTCTTCTTTTATTTAATAAAAGTTATAACATAAAATTAGTTATTGAAATCAAATGTTATTAATTATGCACTTTTAAAAAAATTAATTCAAAAAATTAATTTTAAAAGTGATACTATATATATATATATATATATATATATATTTATACTACTTACTTAATTTTTTTTTTTAGTTTTTATTTTTATTTATTTATTTTTCTTTTGTTTAATAAAATGATTTTAAAAATAATAATCAAACAAAACATAATCATTATAAAAGGAATGAAACAAAAGTGTCATATGGAAAATAAAAGGTTATAGTGGCACTAGCAAATATTGTGGTGGTACTAGCAATACCTTCTATATATATATATATATATATAAACATCTCTAAAAACTATTATTTTTGAATGAAAAGAGAATAATAATATTTAAATAAGAAACACATTGATAAAACTAATAATGGTTTTAGTCTTATAAATATATATATTAGTGTACTAAAAAGCCACAAACAAGGTTCTTGAGAATCACCAAGATTGTGGATCAAAACTTTAAGCTACAAGACAATTCTATAGGACATTCTTAGATCTAAAGTAGTATCTTAAAGAAGTTTTTGTTGTTGTATGCTACATCAAAGTAACTTGTACTTTAAACATAGTTTTAGAATTTTTTATGATTTTTCATTGTAAATTTTTTTAATCAAGTCATTTTATATATATTTAATTGATTATATGTAAACTCCATTTAAATTAGATAAAAATAAATGTCTCTAATAACTTAATAAAATGAGAAATGTTTTTTTATTATATAAATTTGAAATCTGATAATTAACATTAAAATTAATAATTCCCAATTATTGGTATATTTTAAATACTAAAATTAGAATTTATAAGTTTCTCCTATAAGTTGAATAAAAAAATTTGTCATTCATTTCTGAACTATTTTTTAAAAAATTGATAAAAAAATTAGAAGATAAATTATTTTAAATATTTCTCACTTAATAGTTTTAAATATTATAAAAAATAAATATTTAATTCTTTTTATTGAGAGTTTAAAATACCCATAATAATTTTGTATTGACAGTATCATATTTATTATTATCATTTCTCATCTTTTGTTCCAGTCTTATTTTTTAAGAAATTAAATAAAAATATTAGGATGGCAAAAAATCATAATTTTTTTTTTATTCTACTCCTGGAATTTTGTCTTATTAATCGAAAAATAATGAAAATGAATGCATTCATTTCAATGGGTCATTTCATTTGATGGAAAATGAGTGCAATCTTGCCTCATCTTTCGTTTCCTTTTGAACAAATGCTCTTTAGGGTTCGGAGCAAAAGCAGTTACAACTTATTTTATTTCCAACTTGGGCTTTTCCCATGATTTGTGAGAAGTGGAATCAACAACTTACATGGCGTGGGGACCTCAGTGTCCTTCCCCTTTTTCCAATTCAATCCCCCGCAATCTGCCCCCCTGATTTCCATATAGTTTTCCATTTTTACTATTGCCCCCACAATTCTAGATTCCCATCATGGGTCTTGTTTTGGTCTGAATTGGACAGACGGCACTGCATAATACTTGAGTGTTTTGGATTATTGTAAATTAAGTTATTAATTTATTCTTGCCCCAACCCCCCCCCCCTCTTTCCTTTGTAACAAAAACTGGGAAAGGGACCAAAATATATATATATATATATATATATGTTCTGAGCACACAGATTTTTTTTTTATTTTTTTTTTATTTCTCTTTATAGTTTTCTTTATAATTGGTGGTATTTGTATGGTTGAGAATCTCTCACTCATGGCACCACCAATAGTACCTCCCAAAATATAGCCCCTCATGTCAGAGCCCCAATTAGAACTCAGATCCGCCACTATCCCATTACCCACCCACCCCCCCCAAACCATTTTCACAGTTAGAGTTTCCCAGTAATACAGACTCTCTAAATCCAATTAGCAAGCTGTTGATTAGTCCTGGCCCCATGCACTTGTTTGCTGACTGGCTGGGTGGCTGGCTGAAGATTTGTGGGTGTGATTTAGAAACTAAGGAAGCTTGCCTTGTAGATTGAGTGGAGATGAGCAAGAACTCAAATGTATGTATATGGGTGTATGTGCATATACATATACACTTGTGGAAACCCATGCCAATGGCTACAAAAAATATATTGTAAATTACATGCAAAAGTTTGAAGTAATAGATCTGTGTGTGGTTAATGTGATGTATGGTTAAACCATTATTAATTTATTTTCATCAAGACACTACACTTTCAATGGGTTATTTCATTTGAATATAGTTCCCCTCTTTATTAGTAGTGAGCATCCCTTGATGTTATTGTGAGAAAATACTTGGAGAAACAAAATCATGCTGTTATAGCAGATATGGAATTGTTCATTGATTTACCCATTAACAATCTGACAACATGTGATCCTTTTCAATGTTTTTCTTACTTCATTGGATTCTTAGGCATGATGTATATACAATCAATGTATTAATCAGAGAAATAAAAAAACTCAATTTCTGGTAAAAATGGTTGCAGTGTCTCAAATATCACATGATTATTTGATGATGACAATGATCAACTAGTAGATAAAATAAACATTTTGAATGTTATGAAAAACTCATTCAGAAAGTTATGTAAAATGTTACAAAACTTGACTTGCAAGTTCACAATCAGAAACTTCCAGAAAACTATGTAAGATTGTGTAGACAAGACTGGGGGGGGGGGTACATTATGCAGTCATCAAATTTCCATACAATTTGTAAGAAAGCCATGAAATTGACTGAAAAGAAGGCACTTGCTAAATTTCCAAGTGGACTTTCCAAAGGCTCAAGCGAACCACTTGTATTTTGAAAAGCATTCACACTAAACCAACTTCATCGAAATTATCGTCATGGACTAAAATTTCTTTCAAGTCGGACATTGGCCCCCACCAAAAAGAAATTAACATGCATTCAACCAAGAAAAATATGACACGTGTCATGCTCGAATTGGTAATTTTCCGCCATGCATATTTTTAAAGTAGCAAGGGATTAGAAAATTGCGTTTTGAAAGTGTGGTTTTAAAAATAGAAAAAAGTCTAACTTACTATTCATCCATCCAGTGGGAACGAGACATCGGAGCAGGGAGGGCAAGACTGGCAAGCACATCGCACAGCGAGTCCCCCTCCACCCTGGCGCCCAGCTCGGCCAATTTCAAACCCCAGTGCTATTCTCCACAGACAGCGTTCTCTTCACCGTAAAATCATCTTCCTGGGTACATGATGGAATATGCAGAAGGAGCTTGTTTCGAGTGGATTATCTTCATTTCGCGCACTTGCAGGGCATCTACCAGACACGAGGTTTCGAATTGGGCAAAGTCCTGACGATGAGTGTCACTTTCCGGTGCCTCTCCGCCAACAAAGTGTGGACAAGTCCTGTGTGTATGGCAGTGCTGCTGCTGCTTCTTTTATTTATTTATTGTTAAAGTTTTTTTTATGTTATTATTTTTATAATGCTTTTACTTCGGCAGTCAGTAGTTCGAAGAAGATTTTTCTCGGTTCTGACAACGCACACGCGATTAGCGGTATTGCTTGAAATGACTGGGCCATCACTCATTTTTTCCAATGATGTTTTAAAGGAAAGTATACACAAGTTTAGAAGATTCGAGGAAGTTTTTCGGTTGCTGAGGGAGAGAGTGAGAGTAATGAAGCGGGACGAGGGGGAAGGTAGCCGGGGCAACGGGGGTGAATAGGAAGAGGAGGAGATCAAGGAGAGGCGTGGATTGAATTGCGTGCTCTCGGAAGGTCGGTTTAGTCTGTGATTTAGCCAGACAACTAATGAGCGACGCTACCACGTTGCTTCGACGAGAGCACAGACACGGCTAGTTTGGGGCGCAGGGTTTCTGGCCTTGAGCTTGTTGCGATTTCGGTGCTGATCGAGTCCATTTACTTGTGACGAGGGAGGAAATTTGTGTACATTACACCACACTACCCCCGGACTGGCTGATGCGTGACGTGACAGACTCCCTCTGGTCCTACTGACGGACCTTTGCTGGTCCAGTTTGTCAGTGTCCCTGCCATGTCAGTGTCGCCTTGGCCAAGATTTTGGGAGTATAAGACATCAATCACCAGGTTGGTAGTGCCTCATTCTTTGTCTCCTGCTCGTCGTGATGTAAAGTTCGACGAAATGTGAGGCACCGTGCTCCTCAACTTCGACTTGAGCTGGTGTTATTCGGGTGTGGCTCGGAGTGTTGATGGTGACTAGTGAGACAGGTTGTTGTATAGATTGAGCCCTGGCTCTTCAGTCTCTCGCGCGTTTCTGCTGCTTCTGCAATCGTAGAGCTGGTATTCAATGCCTCCCGTAGCTGCCGCAGTGTTTGGTGTTTTTTAATTCGAAATTTTATACGCAGATGGTCACTCTTCTAACCTGTGCTGTTGCGTCTCCTCTACACTTTCACGTGTATCGTCTATCATGAGAAATCCCCTAGGAAAGTGAAGTGTGAGTGTTGTCTTAGTTTTACATGCTTCTGACTGCATATTTCAAGACTAGTTGGTCCTGATCATCTCAGCCTAGGCAGCAGGTGGTGTGATGAATTGATCTGGATGCTGTGCTTGTGTGCCGACGGAGACCCTTCAGTTCATCAAGAGTAGGAGTTTCGATTCAGGGCTTGCTAACAGCTTCCCACTACCGTTTTGGTATTAGTGGACCGGTGAAGTAGTAAGGGTCTCCGGTTCTTCTACAAAAGTTATTCAAGTTAACTGCATAGTTGAAGTCCCCAAGCTCGTCATGTTAGAAATATCTCATCGTACGGGCAGCAATTTGTCATCATAATTGATGAAACTAAACCAACAGTTATTGGTCTTTCGAGATGGTTTAGCTCCTTCATGAATCATTGTATCCGGCAAGCCAGCAGTATGGAACATCTGGTAGTTTCGCATGACATTGTGTTCAGAAATAGCGTAGATTGTTTCACCAGTCTCTACTTCAAACTTAATACTAGATCCTGGTCTGAAGTTATCACCTAGAATCTCGTAGCGTATATAAAAACATGGGAACGGTGTTCTTCACGCCACGTGCGTGAGACTTATGCTACAAAATTGCGATTCTAAGTAGATCTTGACGTATGGGGTTTTGTGCTTTTCTGTTTTAAGAATAAAGGATCACAATGTGCAGCAGTGGTTCATCTCTAACTTTTTCATGTATGTTTTGGCGACAGTGTCTCCTCCTGTGATTCGAGTTAGACTTCCGCGACTGCCTTCAAATTTATCGTCCAGTTGAGGACCGTTGCGTTCCGCGAATAATTGCGGCTTTGTTTCTTGCTGAATCTGCCCTGCACTTCAACGATCCAAAACTCCACTGTCCGTTTGCGTGGCGTGGAACTAAATTTCCAGTTTGTTACTTTCAATGTATTGGAGTTAGAGTGCCTTATACAGACGAACGGCAATTTCGTTATGCAGAGTGGAGAGAGCTAATATTTTCTTTCGTTTGAGTTAAATCACCTTTTTCGGTAGATCTGTTGAATATAAAATTTATTTAGATATTTGAAATATGTCCGTGGTAGTAGGGGTAATACTGTGAAAGTAGTTCGCTAAAATCATTGTTGCGGAGCCGTAGGCAGATTTTACAATGGTACTTAAAGTGAGTGAGGTTAGCGGAGGTCTTGATAGATATCACGGAGAATTTGAAGGTACAGAAGGTTTGCTTCGGGCAAGTTTTCCCAATTTCGGAGAGAGTTTGGTTGGAGGAGTTACCTTGAGGGCTAAGCGGTCAGCAGTCGGCGCTGAGCCTTCAACCGCGTCGTGCGGGTCAACCTTGTCAGTGTCTTCTGTACTGTCTACATCTCCTTCAAAGCCATCAGTTATGAGTTCGAGCTCTGTCTTCTCGAAGCCTATTCCTATCCTTCTACAGAAAAAGCAAAGTCCTTACACAGAAAAGAGCCAATTTCATACATGGATCGGTGCAATGAGGGCTCAGTCACCCCCCCTTGTTCACTCACAGAATGGAGATACTCCTGACGCTTTCGATCTGGAAGCTTCTGTTTATAAATCTTGGCTTGTAAGCACCTTCGCGTTCCACTTCCATAAGCATTTCATTTCCATAGAGAAACATTAATATTGACCGAAAAGTTGTCGGCATGGGATTAAAAATTGGACATCTCCCAACACGTTCTTGTATTGGATCATTACCGCACCCAATCATGAATGCGCTCAACTGGTACCTGTGAAGCCAATGGATGCTTAAAGTTGCGTGGTCACCGCAGGAAAGTCATCCATCAGCGCTAACCTCGTTTGAAAGAGTCATCAAGCATTCGCACAAGAAGCAGATTGTGGTCTTTCTTGACTACGATGGTACGCTGTCACCCATAGTGGAGGATCCTGAACGGGCTTTCATGTCAGCTGAGGTCAGTTGGTGTCGCGTGAGTTCGATGCATTTGGAACTTCATGATATCTAAATAATGGCATATTTGTTTCATGTGAATCACTCTTGTGAACAAAAGTGTTTAATTATCTTGTATTCAATTGGGCCTTGAACATGCACTCAGCTTGCTCAGAAAGTTCGATGAACATTCAGAATCTTGTTCATGTGATTGAAACTAAGATAAAATGGTTTACGTGTTCAATAGATGCGAGCAACTGTGAAGGAGCTGGCAACTTGCTTCCCAACCGCAGTTATCAGTGGAAGATCTCGACCGAAGGTATTCATGGATAACTGTTCTGGCTAGGCTTCTTTTGTCATGCTTTTTTCTGCTTCAAGACAATTTGTGTAAAAGTCTTGTCCATTTCCATTTTATTTCTGCTGTACATCTTTGGATCTTCAGAAATTTTGTGCGAAGTTGATTTAGGTTTGTGAAGGGAGTTGAAGCTACAATTAAGAGGTCTTCTTGTGGTTGCTTCGATTTTGGAGCAGGTGTTTGAGTTTGTGCAATTGACAGAACTATATTACGCTGGAAGTCATGGCATGGATATCATGGGACCTGCAAAGAGTTCAGATGGGTATCGAGTGAAGGGAATAAAGTCTAGAGACAAGAAGGTATCTTTTAGAAGTTTTTTTGGACTTTTATGGTTGAGTGTAAATGATAATTTTCTTTGTTCCATTTGATCGACCGATATTCAGCGTTGTTTGCCTTCTAGTGTCTTACTGTTACTGGTATTTGTTTTGCAGGGAAATGACATTGTTTCATTTCAGCCAGCTAATGAGTATTTGCCACTCATAAACAAGGTATTAAGACACATTTCAGCTCATTGTGTACATGTACACATTTACAAATATGATTTCGCAGTAAATGTGTGCTGTAAATATCATGGTATAACATTTTCGAACAGTTTAGTTATCTGTTGTTGCGAGGACCGATTTCTAGATGTTTGTTTTCTCCAGGTGTATAATGCGTTGATCGAAAGTACCAAAGCGATCAAGGGCGCAAGCGTGGAGCACAATAAATTTTGCGTGACAGTTCATTTCCGCCGTGTAAAAGAGGAGGTATGTCCAGTTTTGAGTTACGTTGCTTTTCTGTTAGTGATTTATGAAATGCGTCTGCTGTGGACAACAGTGAATTTACAGGTGATAGATTTTAATACAGAATTTATAGATTTAGCTTTCAATCTCAATCTTGTGAATCCTTTTTTGTTTGTGATGCAGTATTGGGAGTCACTTGCAGAGCGGGTGGGCTGTGTTTTGAAAGATTTTCCGACTTTAAGCTTGACACATGGCAGGAAGGTGTGTTATTGATGTCATGTCCTTGTCACATGAACTTACGACATCTAGCAGTTGTGTTTGGGAGTAAAAATAGAGGTCTAAAAATCAAGATATGTGATGTAATTTTTGCAGGTTCTCGAAGTTCGTCCTTCGATTTCATGGGATAAAGGAAAAGCTGTCGACTTTCTTCTCAAGTCTCTGGGTGAGGGCTAGCATGTGGACCTCAATTTCTCAACATGGATTCTTTTCCAACATCCCATCTTATACCAATTAATATACATGATATGATTTGCGAAACTTATTTGTTTCTGGAGAAGCTCACAAAATTGTGTATTTACCTGCAGGATACAAAGACACAAGTGATGTAATTCCTCTGTATCTCGGAGATGATAAGACTGATGAAGATGCTTTCAAGGTGTGGACTTCACCTTTTTATCTGATTTTCTATCCCCGTCGTTGTCTTCATCCACAGCGTGTATGTGGCAATTTAGCGAACTTCGAATGCTTATTTTGTATAGTTTTCTTGCTTTTGGTCAGGAGACCTTTGAGTAAGATGTTACACTTCCTGCAGGTATTTTTAAATCTTAGTTTTCGCACGCCCAAAAACACCAGATTTTGTTTCCAAATTTTTACAACTTCCTTTGTTGACATTTGGATGTGACTTTGATTGTCAGATGATCAATGCAACAAAGCATGGCTGCAGTATTTTGGTATCTTCTGTTCCCAAAGCAAGTGATGCAATGCTTTCTCTTCAGAATCCATCCGAGGTATTTGTTGTTCTTTAAACCTTATTTATGCCTTATAAAATCAGACCTTTGCAATGATTGAAGGAAACATCTGTCTTGGAGGCTTGTTTTTGCAAGCAGCACAACTAACTCAAGAATCCACACTGCCGTGGCACTGCCAGGTTATGGAATTTTTGTGCAGGCTCGTGCAGTGGAAAAAGTGGGGGTTGGAAAACCGAAATAACATTCAAGTGGATGTGTTTAACTTCAACTAGATACCGCGGCTTTTTATTTTTATATAAAACTGGGCCAAGCCGTGCTCCAAAGTGTCCTGTGTGTACAGCCACCTACCATGGTCACAATGGCCTCAAACCACTCATCTTACCAAGTAAAACTTCTATATAAACATACAACTTCTCTGTCAGCTCATCCGGACACAAGCCCAGCTTTTCCAAAGCCCACTGTTCGTAAAGTTAGTAATTACCTAATCTCCAGATCTTACTTGTTCAAGAAACAATCGGCATTGAAGGCTTTGCGCAAGAACCCCTGGGAGTTGGCGAAAGATCAACTCACAAACTCAAATTTGCGTAGAAGCAGAGGTTAGGTGAAACCCCAGACAAAATCTGTAACATTAATTGGACGGACCTTTTTGCTGGTCAGAATCAAATCCAAGAAGATGGAATCAGGTCAAGTAAACTATGCCTGGCGACCTGCAGATGAATCGTCATCAAAATTCTTAGCCCAACATTGAGGCGTACATTCTCTGTTGACATATTAAACAGTCACAAATATAGCACCCTGAAGCTGCTGAGTTAGTGAGGTCTTCGCTTTCAAGCGAGATATTTTTGGAGAACTGTTATCTTCATGCATTACAACGTCGCATGTTCGGGCAGTTTGTGCAATTTTATGCCATCCTCAGGCAAAGCTTCAGTATTCCTACTCTGATATCTATAGATTCTAGATTCCTGCCTGCAGGTCATCACAGCACCCAAGATCTTTTTTCTTTGGATAACGCACTCTTGTAAGAACCCTGAGTTCACTTGCTGCAATTACTTACCTCCGCAGAGGTGAAATGCACTTTTACAATACTTGCTTCGAAAGTGAATTAGATTATAAAACCTAGCATGAACTTAACAACCGTGATTACTAAATAAAGCTACATCAAGTTCCTGGTCTGAAGAAATTGTTCTGTTCACTTCATTCCATTTGATTTCGTACTTTGTTGGGTGTTGTTCTAAACCATCAATTTCTTGAATGGCAACATTGACAATGCCCCAAACGGAAAAATTCTCTGCTGTTAACATTAGAAAGAAATGAACAAACAACACTACCAGTATCTCGATGACATTTGTTGAGCAGATACGGTAGTACTTATCACATTTTCTTGTATTACCTCTATTAAACCTGTTGAACCATCTGGATGATAACTCCATTAGAGAATCTAGTTTTTCCATCTTACAAATTATAACACACTTTTGTTATATGCACTTTTAAAAAGTTAAATCTGTGAGGAAGGAAATTTATAATCAATTTATAGTTATGTAAGAATTCACCAAAAACATTTTTAGAAATAAAAGGGGGCAAGTCATGGGAATAAGACATCACCTCCTAGTATTAACAACATATTTTATATAAAATAGCTTAGAGGGAACAAATACATTGGATGAATAAGATGAAACAAAACAACCTTTTGATTGGCTGCATCTCTCATTGTTTTCATCAAAAGTGAAGCAAAAATAGTTTTTATCTAATGATTCATAGGCTCCTAACTTCATTAACTCTTAACTTTCTTTGAGTTAATAAACAACAATAGAGTTGATGTGTAGGATCTCTTTGAGTTAGTCAATAATAATAGCATTGATGTGTGGGAAGAGGAATTATGAAAATCCATGAAAGTCAACACAAAAATCCATGAGAGTCAAGCCAAATGGACAATATTTGTATTCTAGTGTTGTTGTAAGAACAATGTTGAGACTTATTTATGAGTATCTTCTATGGTGGTAGTAGTTAAACAAGATGCTACTTGAATCCTCTATCTTTATTTTTGCTTTACTTGAGGATTGTGAATGTTGTGATTATGGTGCTACTTATAACAACAAGGGTGGTGATGCTTTGGATTTGTTAAAGGTTGGCATTGATGTCAATGTTGGAGAACTATGTGGACAACACTCTACAAATCTTGACATCAATATAGTGATGTTGTAGTAGGGTTGAAGAGACAATGATGAGTTCAAGACAAGAGCTTTGTCAATATGCTCATATTTAGTTGGAAGAAACAAATCAATTGTCTATTACTACTCTAATCTTTTCTTGTAGATGTGTAGCTACAATATACAAAGTTATAATATACAATATAGCTGTGCATCTAGAGCAAGAGATTAGAGCAATATAATATAGCTCACGCAAAAATGTTTAGAAAAATAGGAAATTGAACTATGAGACATTGACAATTGTTCATTGTTGCAATACTTTTTGGTGCAATGGTGCATCCTATCTTGTAATATTATTTCCATGTAGTGATTTCTATTCTTCTTTCTTACAATATTGTTGTATTCATGGACAATAATAGCTAGTGTTTTAAATGGTGTTTTACAATCTATTAAGCAATGGCCTCTAAATTCCAACATGAAAGGATTCACAATAAATATGTACATCGCATTATATGTGGATAGCAATCAAATCTCTCATCCACTTCTATTTTATTTTATTTTATTTTTTTTGGCTTATTTTTGATTAATTTATTTGGAATTTAGAAAAAATAATGTAGTCCATGTTTGTTGATTTTGATTTAGAAGATGTACTGGTTTAACTATGTAGTGAAGTTGTGCATATAAAGAAGCATCAAAATTTCATGTGTTGTAAATTGGAGATTTATTTGTAGGCACTGCATCAATTTTAACACTATTGAATCTTCATTTGAGCCAAATTGACCTTTTTTTTTGTTTTTGTTTTTGTTTGTTTGTTTTGTTTTGTTTTGTTTTATTTTTTATTTTTTATTTATTTTTGTTTTTTTTTATTGCAAGGTTTTTTATACATAATTACAGAAGTCTTTTTAAAAATTTTATTTTTATTTGTAGAGCTTAAAAACTAATGAAAACTTTAGATATATATATAATCTTTAATGTTGGTTAGTTGTAGAATTTATAAGTCATCTTTAAACTTGAAGTTGGAGTCATATATCATGAGGTCTGATCAGTATATCTCAAAGAATAGAAGTTGCAATTACCTTTTAGAAGAATTGAAGAAAGAAGAACCTAAGGTAGGTACAAAGTCAAAGAGGATCTTGGTAATGCTATCCAAAGCAATATAGAATGTTGTAGAGGAGCCGCTTGTAAGCAAGGTGATTTGTTCGAAGATGAACAATTCCTAGAAGTTGCAAATAATTGACATATTAATAGAAATAAAATACAAGACATTTTGATCATTAGCAAGAATAAGATTTGTCCTTGCTTGAGCCCAATAGATATGCACAAATTAAACAATTTTTGCATAGAAATCTATGGATTAATATAAATTAGTTTTATTTTAATCCAAAGCAAATTTAAGTTTTATGTTGGAATTTTTTTTTGAATAGTAAATTAAAAGTTTTTAATTTTGTGTTATGAATTTGTAATATATCAAAAGTAATAGATATTGATTATATGTTAAGAAAATATTTGGTAGAAAGAGATGTATAATTATAAGTATGTATTATTATCTATAGCCAATGGTATCAAAAGATTGGAGTTGCAAAATATAACATGAAGATATATGAGTTATGGTAGTTTAGATTACTTAGTAAATTTTTTAATAATTGAATCAATTTTTTTAATAAATCAAATATATTAATAATAATATCATAAAAATTCTAATATAAAAAAATGTTTGTTATTATTGATTAACAGCCACATTCATTAAATATATGTATGTAAGTATGTATACTTATACTTATCTAAAAACTAAATTTTATGGTATTTTATTATTATTATTGTTATTAGAGATGTATTTAATCTCTAATATAAAATATTTTTTCATATTTTCTATAACAAAAATACGGATTTAATTAGTATATATACACACATATCTATATAATACATAAAGAGTTTTAATTTTAATTTTAATTTTTTTTTCTTCTATCAAATATAAATCTCATCTTCAAAATCTGTCACTTCTATTCAGATCAATCTCATTTATGATCATAATTGTTATTATCATCTACTAGAACTAAATTTTGTATATTAATAACATATTCTAATTACAATTTCTATATTTTTTTGTACTTTGAATTGCTATCTTTATCTACCAATTTGAATCTAGAAGGATCTAAACTTTCACAGGATTGTGTATAAATATGGATTAGTACCAGATCAAAGACTCTATCTACAACCTTATAATTTATCAATTACTTTCTTTGAATTAACTTGTTAGTGAAGGAATAATTTCTTATATCTTTGTGTAATTATGATAAAAGTTCTTATAACTTTGTATTTGTTGTTTCCATTTTTTTTCATTCAATGGGATTGGAAACATTAAGGATAGACTACCATTTCTTACTATTAATTTTCTTGAAGGTGTATTAAGGTGGTTGATAGAAATCTTATATTCTTGCAATATGATGCTATTGCAAGAATATAAGATTATCAAGACTATTTTTTCTTATACTATCTTTAAAATATCTTTAAAATAAATAGAAGACTTTGCAAAAAAAATTAAAATACATGGTTTCAAATGGATGATTTGTAAAGAAAGACATTTGTCTAGATAGATAACTAAAAATGATAGACTTTGTCTGCATGGTTAGTAAAAAACTTATAATATGAGAATAAAAATTGATAAGTAAAACAAATACAAAAATGGATTATTTCTTTTAAGTGATCCTATTAAGAAATTAAAAGCCAATTTGAGTTTTAAATTTTAGTATTTTAAATATTTATTAGTTCTATGATTTGATTGAAAATATTGTAGCCTATAATATATCAATAATAATGAATGCCAACCATGAGCATATGACAATTACATTTTAGAAAGTTTGTATTGCCTCCAAGGTTATTGCAAAATCTCCCACCTCATTAGTTTTGTACTAGTCTATTGAAATATCTACAATCAAAAGAACATATCAAAGATAGAAACTCTTGGAGTTAGACAACTAACTAAAGCTTTGATAAGCATCTTCATTAAAAATAAAATAAAGTATGACATCAAAATCAATAAAAATAGCATACTATTTTATAATAGATATTTGTTTAAGACCAAAAAATTACAAAGTCTTTTTTTTCAATTAGATTTATGAATTTTAATTTATTGATATAGATTTATTAAAAACCAAAAAATAATTTTAGTCAAAAATACCAAGCTTCTAAATATAAAAGTCATAGATGCTTATTTTTTATCTTCTAAAAATATTACTTATATAACTATTCTTTTAGATATAGCAACTAATGGATATAAAAGCTTAATAATATTTAATGTAATTGAATCTCCTTCTAATCTAATTATTTTTATATTATTATAGCCAAAAAAATATAATCTTTAAATAGAGTGGATTTCTTATAACCTTAATTTTTTTTATAGTTTAATCTAGTATTCTATTATTCAAGTAGAAAGTTAAAAGTCTAATACAACCAAATCCTTATTGATAGATGTAAGAGTTTTCATGCATGTTATAAAAAAAGAGTCATATCTTATTATTTATATTATATCTATTTTTAGTAGTAAAAAAATATTCAAGTAATATTTTAAGTAAGTACCAAAATTATTAAGAGATTTTTTAGAAGAAGAATACACATATTTTCTTAAAGTATTTTTCCTATGATTGTTCAATTAATCTTTAAGAAAAAGCACAATCTCCATTTGGTCTAATCTATAGTTTATTATAAAATAAGTTGGTTGCCTTCAAAAAATACATTAATCATAATCTTACTAAAATTTTTATATGCCATTTAATATCTCTAGCAAGACCTTCTATTTTATTTGTAAAGAAAAAATATGAATCATTGTAGATGTATGTAGATATCAAGGATATGAATCTCAAAGAGAGAAAATCCTCAATACTCTTGTATCACCAAAAGGAACTAGAAAGTCACTCAAAGATGATATAATATTGAACTAGAATGGCTATTGCCAAAAATAAGGAGACAAGAAAGTCTTGAAGCAAAACTAAGAACTAAAAAGGCATTGACAAGAGTAAAGAAGGCTT